CACACACACACACAAGCACACACACACACACACACACAAACACACACACACCATACACATACATACCACACACCACATACATACATACCACACACACATACCATACATATACCACACACACATACATACCACACACACCACACACACATACCACACATACATACCACACACACATGCACACACTGCATACCACATACACATATACCACACATACATACCACACATATATACCACACATCACACACACACACACACACACACACCAGGAACCACTATTCAAACACTAAATTTTAGTTCCCTAAATAGACCTTAAAAATCTACTTCTAGCCTCCAGAACAGACATACTGATTTGGCATTTTGGGAAGTCCTCCCTAAATCTGAGGTTCTGACCATAGTTATCACTTAGCTCTGGTACTAGTCTGGTAAAACAAAGGGGAAGAGCCAGTGACATGGAAAAGGGACTTGTGGCTCTCCTCTTCCAGGAAGGCTTTCCTGGCTAGCCCAACCCACGGGATCCTGGCATTCTCTTAACCCAACCTCCAGAGCACAGCCTTCATGCACTGTAATTTTGGGGGGTGACAGTAGCTTTACTTCCTTGGCTTCTGTGTGTATTCCAAGGTCATTGTGATGATGGTTCCAGGGCCTTGTGACACACCTAGCTGGATCTGTTCAAGTGTGGGAAGTCAAAGAAGCCCTGTTCCTTTGGGGAATGCAATTCATCTCCTAAAAGGACGTTCCCCTTCCCTGGCTCTGTAGGCATTACTTGGGCTCCCCAGGAGATCCGGACACAGGCAACTAACTCCAAAGAAAGCTAGAGGGGAACATGACCACCCTTTCTCCAGAAAACAGCCTCTCTGCAAGGCGGTCGGCCACCTTCATCCTGGTATGTTCTTTGATTTGTTTTGAGATGGGCGTCTCACTATGCTGCCTAGCCTGGCCTTGACTTGTGATCCTTTTGCCTCGTCTTCTAAGTGCTGGGCTTACAAGAGTATGCCACCATACCCGACGGACACGTGTTCTTCATCAGTCCCAAGTGCCTCCCTCCATAACCTCTGTTTGTACTGGGGCTCTTTGTCCCTGCTGAGAGAGAAGGCTGCAGGTGAAAGATGGAGCAAGACCAGCTGTACTCTGGTCTGCCCTTCAACACCAACCACAGAACAGACACATGCACCCCTTTTTTACCTTACTGGAAGAGCTCAGAACCCAGCATGGCTTCCTTTCCAGAGGTGTCACTCTAAAGTTATGGTGTTTCTTAGAGTTTGCACAGACATTGGTGAATTTTCTTTGGTGCTTTTGCCAACAATTTTGGTATATAGCCACCAAGTGGCAGTAGTGCTTCTGTTACTAGGTCCCAAGCACAGTTGATACACAATTCCTTAGTCAGTTTGGGTCACGAAAATTTTCCACGCACTATTATTCAAAATCATAACTAACTATAATGACCTTAACCAATCTCAAGATCCATTTATCATGTGATTAGTAGAATGATACATAAAAATTCAAAATGAGCACCTGAAGTTTAAATGCTATGATTTTATTGCCTGTGATCACCAAGCCTTGAATATTCTGTTCCTTCTGTTCTTCAAACTTAGAGAAGGCTAATAATAATGATGAATAAGTTGCCAGACAGCAGTTGGTGTGTACAAATGCCATTGTAAGTGCTTTGTTTATAGTCGCTCCTTCTCCTCCCAGCCCTCTGAGATGGGATGTGACGGGGCTATTGTCATTTGATGAGTGAGGAAATGGATCCTAGAGACTTAGCATCCTGACAATCAGGAATCCAGATGCAGACTGTGGACTGACAAGTCCTCCTCATCAACTCATGAACTCCCAAGTGTGGAGGTGATTGCCAGCATCAGGGAGAATTTGCTTCCCAAGGGCAGACCAGTGCCAAAGCTCCCTGAACTTTCCAGTGCCCTAAGTCTTGGTGTTGGCCCAGTAGATGAAGCAGGTGTGAGTTATTAAGGAAAGGGTTTTCAGGCTGGCTCGGTGTATAGATGCTTTTATTGCATATGTGAGGACCGGAGTTCAGATCCCAAAATCCATGTGAAATGTTGGGTAGATGTGGTGGTTCCCCTGTAATTCCAGCCTTGGGAGGCAGAGATAGGTGGCCCCCAGGGCAAACTGACTAGAGGAACTAGCCATATCAGTGAGCTCTAGGTTTGATTGAGAGACCCTGACTCATTGAATAAGGTAGAAGGACACAGATGGTTCCCAACATCAACCTCATGCTTCCACATGCACTCATATATTTGTGCCTACATATCTTGTCCCTTGTCCCCCAACATACACACAGAGAAGAGAGAGAGAGAGAGAGAGAGAGAGAGAGAGAGAGAGAGAGAGAGAGAGAGAGAGAGAGAGAGCAATAACAAAAAGGGAGCTCTCAAGCTCACCTGACATGCAGATAGTGAAACTGCCCCATCTGTAGTCAGTGATGCAACTGTTACTTTGGGTGTCAGGTCTTAAGCCTGGCTCCTCACTCAGCCTGTGTACCACAGCATTAGGGGTCCAGGAAACTGTTAGGAATGCATCTCTGTAGGCTGCTCGCCAAACTTTCTGAGCCAGAAGATCCTCAAGTGATTTTTATACAGATTTAATTTAGAGTCCTGTGTTTACACATTCAGGTATTAAGAGAAAGATGGGGACATCTCTGCTCAGCTCTTGGGTTCTGTACATCAGGGCATCTCTGTCTGTCTGTCTGTCTGTCTGTCTGTCTGTCTGTCTGTCTGTTTCTCAGATCTGGTACTTCAAGATCCCCTTCTTTTCAACAGGAGAGAACGCCCATCCTACACCCTCACTCTTAGTTGTTGTTTTATAAATGGTTTGCAGGCATTGTACTTACTACTCATACACAAGTGTGCACACCACACACACACACACACACACACACACACACACACACACACTAAACAAACAAATAAAAGACAAAACAAAACTCCTTATTCAAATATTCCTGCGTCAGCTGCTTTACATTTTCAGGGAAGATAAAATAGAGCACACGAATTGTTTAATTTGTGCTTATATCTTTCATAAAGTACATGAAAAATAAATAATATAATTATATTCCCCAACTTACTCAAAGATAATCACTGTAGCTTTTTGTTTTATTTTGAGACAGGGCCCTGTGCATCCCAGGTTAGCCTCAAATTTACTATATAGCTGAGAATAATCTTGAACTTGTGATCTTCCTGCCTCCACAGGTGTGTGTCATCATGCCTAGTGTGTGGTGCTGCGGATCAAACCCAGGGCTTCCTGTATGTTAGGCAAGAACTCTACCCACTGAGCTACAGCCCTATCTCCAATCACTATTGTGGGGGTTATTTTCTTTAGATTTTATGTGTATGGGTATTTTGCCTATATGTATGTCTGTGCCCAAGGAGGCCAGAAAAGGGTCCCTGGAACAGGAGTTATAGCCATTTATGAACTGCTATCTGGGTGCTAGGAATTGAACCTGGGTCCTCTGGAAGAGCAGCTAGCGTTTTTAATTGCTGAGCCATCTCCCCAGTCCCACTATTGCTTATTTGTTTGCTTGTTTTGTTGTTTTTCGTTTTGGCCATTTGAAACAGGGTTTCTCTATGTACCTCTGGCTGGCCTAGAACTCACTCTGTAGACCAGGCTTAGCTCAAACTCACAGAGATCCACCTGCCTCTGCCTCCTGAGTACTGGGATTAAAGGCATGAGCCACCACCACCCAGCTCACCTTGGCTCCATTGTTTTTAATGGAGGATGTTTTATTGGTATTTTCTTCAGTATTTTTCCTATTATTAATTTGTTGTTGTTGCTGAGACAGGGTCTCACTGTGTAGCTTCATATGTCTTGGAACTCACTACATAGACCAGGCTGTCCTCAAACTTGGAGATTTACCTGCCTCTGCCTCCCAAGTGCTGGGCAGAATTATCGGCAAGTGGCACTATGCCCAAGCTTCAGTCTTTTTTTCTAAGAATCTCCTGTGTGTGGTACAGTTTTTTAATATATAACAGACACAGTATACAAACAGAAGTGCTGCTGAGAATACTGACATGGCTGGACTGGAGGACCCAGCATGGAGATGGGTAGTGCTGCTTGTAAGATTTTAGACTTCATGGAGAGGCAGTTCTGGTGCACAGGGAGAAATGTCAAAGATCAAATTGTGTATTCTGCCTTTTCCTGTAACATTTGTATCTTCCCAGATCATTATTCATGCCTTGTAAACATCTATTTATATGCCTCCCTGTATTCCACACTGTATATAAAACATAGTTTACGTAACTATTCCCTTATTGCAGCACATTCAGAGTGCTTACAGTTTTAATTTGGATAAGTTATGTGCAGCGAACATTATTGTCCATCCTGGAGTTTTGTTTTCCACTTATTTTCAGCAATTTCCTTGGGACAGAGTATTCTAGATGTGAGCCATAGGCTGTGAGTTTTGATCCCTCACAGAGTCTTCAAATTAGAAGGAAAGCCCAAAGCCTCTAACAGAAGGTTAATCTGGTTGTCATTGCCAGGAGAAGAGAAACCCGCCCATTGACAAGACAGAATGGGACAGCTTCTTCGATGAGAATGGTCACTTGGCCAAAACTCGGGACTTCATTTGTGTTAATATCCTGGAAAGGGTATGATTCCCAGGTTACCTCAGCCTTGCCCTGACACTTGGGGGTGGCACAAATGGTAGGGATCAGGCATGACACTGAGAATCTTGAGAGTTCATGACCTCCCATGCCCAGGGTCTACACCCCTTCGTGAGGACAGAAGCCTGGAAGTTCCTCACAGGCTACTACTCATGGCAGAGTTCCCGGGATGAGCGGCTCATGGTGGACGCCAACAGGAGGTAGAAATTTCCAGAACCTTTTTCAGTGAATAGTTGTTGGGGCTTCAGGGGAGGGGCACCTCCCAGCTTAGAGGTTCAGGTTTCTTCTTCATATGGATAACTTATTCTGAAAAGACTCCTGATGCTTCCCACACAGGATCCACATACAGCAGGTGTAGCCAAGTTAAGCAGGCATCTCCTCTCCAGTTGCATTGACCAAATAAGCAGTTGAAGGCAGGGACTTGTCCAGAAAATCCCCTTATTGCCTTGCTCCCAACCTCATCCTTCCCTGCACAGCCTACCAACCCAGGGAACTTTCTTTCCTCTGTCCCATCCCCTTTCCTGCCAACTGCTACCCACAAACCCCATGGCCTAACTGCTTCCCGAGTCTAGGTTCCATCTCTCTGTCCTACCCACTTCTCCTCCTGGTGCCCAGTATGGGCTGCACATGTCCTCAGGTTAAACAATCCCAGAGGTGTCTCTGCTGACATTTCAAATAGCCTATTTTTTTCTTAATCCTAGCTCTCCCATCCCAAGCACCCTCCATCTGACCATTCCTGAGGGGACTATCTTAGAGTTATGATTTCTATTGCTGTGATGAAAAAACATGCCCAAAAGCAACTGGGGGAGGAGAGGGTTTGTTTGGGGACTTACAGTTCCATATTGCAGTCCATCACTGAGGGAAGTCAGAGCAGGAACTAGGAGGCAGAAGCTAATACAGAGGCCATGAAGGAATGTTGTTTACTGGCTTGGTCCTCACATCTTGCTCAATCTGATTTCTTTGTAGCACCTAGGACCAGCCTAGAGGTGGCACCTCCAACAGTGAGCTGGGCCCTCTCACATCAATAATTAATCAAAAAATGCCTGACAGGCATTTTCCTACAGACTAATCTGGTCTTCCTTTCTTCCTTTCTTCCTTTCTTCCTTTCTTCCTTCCTTCCTTCCTTCCTTTTTCTTTCGTCCTCTTTCTTTCTTTCTTTCTTTCTTTCTTTCTTTCTTTCTGTTTTTGTTTTTTGTTTTTCCTTTCTTCCTTTCTTCCTTTCTTCCTTTCTTCCTTCCTTCCTTCCTTCCTTTTTCTTTCGTCCTCTTTCTTTCTTTCTTTCTTTCTTTCTTTCTTTCTTTCTTTCTTTCTTTCTTTCTGTTTTTGTTTTTTGTTTTTGTTTTTCCAAACAGGGTTTCTCTGTGGCTTTGGAGGCTGTCCTGGAACTAGCTCTTGTAGACCAGGCTAGTCTCAAACTCTCAGAGATCTCCCTGCCTCTGCTTCCCAAGTGCTGGGATTAAAGGTGTGCGCCACCACCGCCCGGCTGGGAGCATTTTCTTAATGAAGATTCCTTCTTCTGATATGATTCTGGCCTGTGTCAAGTTGGTATAAAACTGACCAGCACAGTGACTCTCTATGGCTCAAACACCCCACTCCAGCCGAGTTGGGTGTTCTTTTTGTACTCCTCTGTTCTTGGTTCACTTTCTGCCTCCACCCACACTGGTCTCTCTAATAGCTGTCTCCAAAACCCCACCTTTGGGCCAAAGGGATTGCTCAGGGGATAAAGGCACTTGCCACCAAGCCTGACAATCTGAGATCAATCCCATGGTGGATGGAGAGAAGGGACTCTCACACAAATTGTCCTCTGACCTCCACAAGTGTCTCACACACACACACACACACACACACACACACACTGAACAAACAAATGCAAAATTTCCATCCTTGCTTCAAGGCCAGAAACAAACTGGGCACTTCCTCCTGACTGGAGGATCTTTGCAGGTAAGTATACACAGGCTTTGAACTTGGAATATTATTAGGTTTAGGAGTGAATTCAATTAAAATTCTAGTGTTAACATCACACTCAGTAAACTTGCCCATGAACTTCGCTGCTGAAGGCCCAGTCTCCTCCTCTGACAAATGCAGGTCACAATACAGTTCACAGAGTGCTACAAAGATCTAATTATAGAAACAGGCATGTCATCATTCGTGGGAGAAGAACAGCTAGGGTTCATGTTGGTAAGGATGCTCCCCAAAGCCAGAAGCGAGATTTTCACTTCTGTAACCCTGGGACTTGGACTTGTTGAGCCTGGTGCATGCCTCTTCGCCCCCAGGTGGAACACACACTGGGGAAGAGTCTGAGTCCTCCCCAAGTCACCTTTTTCAGCTCAGTGCAGGCCTCACCTGTCAATGTGAGCACTTGAGATCCACTGGATCCTGAATGACCCCACAGTGGGTTGCTTCCTTCTTAGAGGTATTTTATCTTGGGCTGCCTGACCAAGGCTTAGGGCCTGGAGCAGCTGAGCTCAGCCACAAAGCAGCTCCAAGCCAAGATGTGGAAAAGACAGCTCACATAGGGACCAGCGAGAATAGTCTGGGACAGTAGGGATATGAGTGTCAGACTAGGTACCAAATCAGGGACCAAGCCTTGTGTGTGTGTCACACATGATTGCTGAGGCAAAAAGCCACCAGTGAGCAAAGTGCCCTGAACAGGGTGGTTGATAGTATCAGACATTTTTTCCTCTGGCATTCCAGAGGCAGAAGACAAGCTTGCTTGCTGGCCTCCTGAGAAAGCTCTGAGAGACAGAAGGTCCTTCTCCACACCTCCCACAGAAGCTTCCTTGGCTTGAGGCTACATCTATTCATGTTCTGTCTCAGTGAACATGGGCCCTCCCTCCTCTATGTGTGTCTCTTATACAGGCAATTGTCATTTGATTTAGGGTCCCTGGAAAGCCCAGAATGATCACATATTGAGATCCATTATCACACTGAAAAAGACCCCTTCTACAAATAAGCCCATGTTACAGGTTCTAGGTGTTAGACCCAGGACACTATGACTTTTAGAGGCCACCAGTCAATTACTGCACCAACTAATCAAATTTCAGTGATCAGCATAAGACTGTCCCCATTCTGCAGATGAGGAAACTGAGGCTTAGAGAGGGAGGATGGCATCCCTCTGCAGACACTCCATTGTTAAGTGGCGGCTCCACGGTTTGGGTGCTACAGTTGGACCACAGAGCCCACCCCATATTAAGTTGTCTCCACACTGTGTGCCAGCAGCATGTTGGAAAGCATCAGCTCAGGTGGAAGGAAGAACCTTAGGTGGGGACCAGTGGGGACCAGCTGGGCAAGCTACCCTATTCCCTTTGAGCTCAACACCTGCTGCTGCCCTGAGTTGTCCCTTCTTGGGAGGAGAAGGCCTCCTTACTCAGCCTGGTGTGTTCTCTCAGGAGAAACTACAAGGTCTTGTGTCAGATGTATGAGAAAATCCGGCCCCTGCTGGAGAACTTGCACGGGAACTTCACAGAGACCCGGAACAACATCGGTGAGCAGAGGGACGGGGTGGATGCCATTCAGGTCTTTTCCTAGTCATTTCTAGGCACAGGTGACTCCTGGGGCTTCACTTTGGCCTGGAATTTTCCTAGCCAAACCCCAGTCAATCCACCCACCCCTGCCCACAGGTATTCCTAGATGAGTTCGTTTCCATGCCTTCCCCGTTGCTTTGATTCCTGCCCCGCCCCCATGACTTTGAACTAGATTATATCTGAATTGGATGGGGAGAGGCATTCCTTGACAAAGGCTATGGTCTGGTCAAAGACTTGGAGGCAAGGAGGACCCCATACCAGCAGGGTATGGTGATGAGTTAAGCTTGGTGGGGCTGACATGCCTGCAGTAGTGCCCCCCAACTAGGATATTTTTAGGGGGGAGGACCTGTCCTCTAAGGATGGAGATGAATTTATCCATGCTTTCTGTGCTGGAGACAATCAAGTATCACCCTTGCTCTAACCTAGCATATGACATCCAGAAACTCTACGACAAAGATCCCCTGGGTAATGTGCTTGTGGACAAGAAGAAACTAGAGAAGACCCTACTGCTGAGTTATGTCTGCAACACAAAGGCTGGTGAGCTGAGGGTGGAGCCCCAGCCCATACTTGCCAGCTCCTTCCTGGACCCTGGGCCAGAGCCCACTGGCTTTTCCTTACTGGTGCCCTCCCATGCAGAGTACCAGAGAGGCTTCCATGAGATGGTGATGCTTTTCCAGTTGATGGTGGAGCATGACCACGAGACCTTCTGGCTCTTCCAGTTCTTCCTGCAGAAAACAGTGAGGACTAAGTCAGGCTCAAATCTCCTACTCCTCACTGCCCATCAAGCCAAGGCACCAACAGCCTCAGCCACTTCCTTCAGCCCTCAAACACCCTGTAGGTCAGGGGGTGGGTGGTAGAGGCATTAGAGTTCAGAAGGGTTGGTTATTCAGAGTGTCACTCTGACCAGGCCCAGTGGTGGCACCCTCAGCTGGCCTTTCACTCCTTACACACAAATCTCCCTGCAGAGCTCTTGTGGCTTCCTAGGCCTCCAGAATAAAGTCCACTAGACTTTGTCAGGCCTCCAAGGCTGCCTCTTTGTTCCTGCCTCTCCTTGTTTCTTCCATATGACCTATAGTCCAGATACCCTGGAGGTCCAGGCTGTACCTTAATCTACACCCAGGATGAAGGGTTTACCATCTGAGAAGATTTTCTTTGTCACCTTCTAGAAGCCTCCCACACCCCCTACCTCTCTATGCACCTCTCTCAAAACATGCTTGCTGAACCTTCCTTTTAGGCTCTGACCCAATAACTGGAGTCATGGTCACACGTGGAACATCTTTGCAGCACCGACCCACCCCCATATGTTAAGATGCACATGAATACATGACTGCCCAGAGATGTACACATATGCAAACCGGCATAGCTGTGCACATGGACCAGATGCAACACACACACACACACACACACACACACACACACACACACACACACACACACGCACACTACTTCTCAGAATTGGGGCTGAGAAGTGGGCTTGGTTCCATGATGTCCTCAAGTTGAACTGAGGAGGACTGTTCTCTGGTCCCATCTTGTACAGGAGCACAGCTGTGTCATCAACATCGGCGTAGGCAAGAACCTGGATATGCTCAACAGTCTGATTGCTTTACTGGACCCTGAATTTGCTGAACACCTCAGTGAGTGGTCCACAGTTATTACTACTTCCCACACCAACAGGTAGGCTATGGGAGGACCAAGGCCCACAGCAGACATACTCAGGCCTGGGGAGGGAAGTATGTGGAAGAGCCCGAGTCTACGATGTTGAACATCTGCTCCAAACAGACTCCGTGGCTTGCTGGGAAAGTAGCAGCCAGAGTTTTGATGTTTCCTATGTCCTGCACGCTCTGTTGTGTGACCTTGCCTGTGTGGCAGCTTCAGTGACTGCTTCTCTCCTTGCAGAAGGAAAGGGCTCAGGAGCTGTGCAGTCCCTCTTCCCCTGGTTCTGCCTCTGCTTCCAGCGTGCCTTCAAATCCTTCGATGACGTCTGGAGGCTTTGGGAGGTGAGGTGCACGCAGCCGGGGACACTTGATGTGGACTGTACCCCTCCTGCCTCAGGAGGAGAAGCCACACAGCTTTGCCAGCTTCCCTTCCTGGCTTTGGATGGTGCTCAGGGGTCTAGAGTTTAGTTGGGTCAGCAACCCCACCCCCTCCTTGCTGGAGAATGCTAGCACATCTGTGCATCAATTCTGATGCCAGACTCCACTGACCATCTACAGGGCAGTTGGTGCAGGGGCACCTGCTGATGCTCCTGGGCTGGCCTGCAGCTCAGCCACCCTGCCCCTGCTCTCTGCCATCTTTCACTGCCTTTCCTTGGCCTTCCCTTCTCCTAGAATGCTGGCTTCTCTTAGAACCTGATTTCCCCCAAGGCAGGCCCCAAGGACACCTGTAGTCTTCCAACCACAGTCCCAAGGGCCACCAGCAGATGATCCTCCTTAGGAACAAACCCATCACCTGTTGCTGTCCTGCCTCACAGCTGTTCCTAATTGGAGGATCCAGCCCGACTGCCAGCCTGGCATGTACCACTCCACAATCCAGCTTCCACCTGCCTCACCCTTTCATCTTGGCCTGCCACTCTCCATATCCAAATCTAATATAGCACCTCTACCGACTTTTGGGGAAACCCTGGATTTCTGAGCCCCCACTCAAATCCTGGTTCCTCTATACCCTGTTCTGAGTGAGTGGTTTGTGATAGCTTGCTACCCTCAGGGTGTCCTGGTCTCAGGCCACTGAGTTGAGGCCTGCTGGCTGCCCACAGGTCCTGCTGACTGGGAAGCCCTGCAGGAATTTCCAGGTGCTGGTGGCCTACAGCATGCTACAGATGGTGCGTGAGCAGGCGCTGCTGGAGAGCATGAGTGGTGATGCCATCCTTCTGGTGAGCACCCTCTGCCCGATCCCTCTCCAGCCTCTAGAGCTAGATCCCTGTGCCCATTTCATTGAAGGATACAGATCCGTGGTATGCTAGCTCATGGCCGCTTTTGCCTCCAGAAGGGAACAAGTGATGAGAGCTGTATGGAAAAAGTATGGAGCTCCATACTGATGGTTCTTAATAGACTAGCTCTGAAGGCCCTGTGACAGAGGCTACATTGGTTTATCATGCAAGTAAGCATGTGAGGAAACTGAAGCCTTGAATGGTCTAAGCATTAGACTCTACTGCCTTGAAGTCAACCCTTGGCTATGTCTCATAAGGGCCTGAGGTTTTCAGACATGCTTAAAAGCCAGCTGAAGTACAAGAAAAAAAATATTGGGTGATACCCCAATTATAAACCGGGTCTTCTTTAGGAGCTTTAGACACGTAGCAGAATGTCGGGGCTTCCTAGACCCCTGTGTGAAGGCTATGTTTATCATTCCCCCAAAGCATACAATTTGCAGGCATTGTGGTGGGTTGTGGAGACATCAGGTGCTCCCCAGTAACTGCTGTGAGTAGTAGCTTTCTTACCTTTGTGCTGCCTTGCCCAAAAGCACAGGAGAGGTGTTTTTGTTTACACACACACACACACACACACCACATGCATCTCCCTCCTAGGCCTGCAACAACCTCATCGACCTTGATGCTGATGAACTGATCTCTGCTGCTTGCCTGGTTTATGCTGAGCTCATGCAAAAGGAGGTAAGTTGCCCAGTGATTTGCCTTCCTCTTTTGTCATCTTCTTCTTCCTTCTCCTCTGTTCCTCTTCCTTTATTCTTCCTCCAAGAAGCCTTCCCTGGTTTCCCATGCCCACCCTGTAGCCATCACACTTGGCTTCAGAGACAGTCTGTGGTGCTCCCTCCCACCAGCCTACAGAAGTAGTTCTGCATGGTCTTTTCATTATTGATATCCTCATGGGCAGTCTGATTCCTGGGATCACAGCCTTCATTTCACATTCCCTATGTCCTTCCCAAGTGGTCCAAGTACAAACCTGGACCCCCTGGGACCCAGGACAGACCGAAGAGTGAGAGCCAAGTCAGATAATATCTGTCTACACCACACCTTCATGACTCCTCTCATCTCCAGATTCCTGGGCCATTAAAGGATTTCTTTCTCTGAGAAAACCGACACTCACAATGGGTACATGCCCTCAATGGACTGGATGAAGGCAATTCTTCAGCCATGGGGTCAAGATCAAGTTCATTGAGTACTGGGATGAGGGCATAAACAATACAGCACCATGGAAACAGCTTCTGGAGTATTGGTTTGTGGTGGTCACATGTCTTCTTTGACCTTGGAGTGCATGATGGTTGAGACAGTATAGTAAGTGAGCAGACTGCTGTGAAGCTATGGAGAAGGCACACTGGGACAGGACAGTGTGGGACAGTCACTCTTCCCAACTGATAGGTCTTCAGAGGTCCACACCTGAAAGCAAATGGGTAGGGGAGGACCAATCCTGAAGTCCTCCCAGACAGTTGCCACAGACAAGAGTGAATATACAGAGATTCCTACATCTGGACTCAAGTTCTAAGGGGAGATGAGCTCTAGCCTTTGCATCTGTCTGCACTATCCCTTTACTCTCAACATAGTCCTCAGATTCTCTCCCACACCCCAGGCTTCCCACCAACTGTGGAAGGACCAACCCAAACGTCTGACCATCAGGCTGTTCCCCTCCTGGTCTCAAAGTCCCCCTCATAACTGTACCTTTATCCTCTACCTCCAAGTGTCTCCTTGACAGAAGCCAGGCTTCCCAGCCTTCCTCATCCTCTCCTGAGACTTCATTCTATCCTTGCTCAGGAGACTACTCTCTCCTGGGGCAAGAGACATGCCATAGGCCTCAAGCTCCATGTCCAGCCTACCAAGGCTCTGGTGAACCATAGTGCCAATAGGCATGGAGAGGGGATGGACCTACAGAGGGTTTGGGGTTGGCTGGATGCCCCAGAGTTGCACATAGACACACACACACACACACACACACACACACACACACACACATTTTTCAGCAAATCTGGTGGGTCCATTGGTTTTGCTGCAGACCCTGGCCCCTGTAGATAAGTCACAATGTTTCAGATTCTCCAGTCAACAAGCCCTCTCTTTCCTGCTTTCAAAGTGTCAGTCTCAGTGGCCACCTCTCAGAAGGTATTATGCCCTCTGTATTTTCTGGTCTTCTCCTCTCAAGTGACAGTCTCCCATCTATGGCTGACTCTAAGTCCTTTAGCTGTTGTTTTTGATGGAGGCGGAGGTGCTGAATAACGGAGCCCTGTCCCACTGACAGGGTTTTCTCTGCTTAGTAAGAGAGCACTTGCCATCAGCAAAGCTCATGGGTGAATTTATGTGCTGTGCTCTTCTCAGCTCTGTGTTCTCAAGACAAGACAATGTATATTAGCATTCTTGCATGGAAAACAGTCCTCCAAGAAGGAAACTATGCCTTTTATTTTCCCAAATAACCATACAGAGTAAAACATTTTCCTGACTTAACCTTGGCACTGAACAGCAGATATGTATGTACTCTTTCATGGTCCTTGGGCTTGGTGGTAGAAGTTAAGCACATAACTTTTGGTTAGAATATACACACAATATTACCCAGCTCAAGAATAAAAAAAAAATAAATAAATCTCAACAATTTTAAGACATGATTCCAAACCATGTATAAATATGTGTATGTATGTGTCTGTGTGGGGGTACTGTATGTGAGTACAAGTGCCCAAGGAAGCCAGAAGAAGACATCAGGTCTGCTGGATTTAGAATTACAGGCAGCTGTGAGCCATCCAACAAGGTATCGGGAACCAAACACCGGTCCTCTGGACGAGCATAATGTGCTCTCAATCACTGAGAAACCTCTCCAACCCCACGATCATGTTTTAAAAGTCACTAGAAGTTGGCAAGATGGCTCAGAGGGTAAAGCATTTACCTTCAAGCCTGACAACTTGAGCTTGATCCCTGGGACTCATGTGGTGGAAGGGTATAACTGAGTCTCAATAGTTGTCCTTGCCAAATATATGCTGTGCCAAATATATGCTGTGGTATGGATATATTCACCACATATGTATGTACACACACAGAGAGGGGGTAGGCATGCACACAATTTTTTAAAATAAATAAATAAAATATTTTTTTAAATCACTGGAGCCCAATGGTTAATGTCTTCCCTGCTTGGAAGAAGTAGGGGTGGTGATTCCAGAGCCCTCTTGCTACAGTCCCGCTTGAATTTCACATCCTTCTGGACAGTCCTTTCAAGGATCCTCTGACCTACTGGAGAACATGTTTGAAATCTCTGTGACGTCTTAAAGATGAGGAGGTTTGAGCCTAGACACTGAACAATCCAGGCAAAGATCAAGCCTGAGATTAGGGGCAGGACACAGAGATCTTTGGAACCCCCACTCCTCTGTCATAACCTGTTGTTATGACTACCTTGCTATGACCACCTTGTTGTAGTCTGTTTCTATAACCCTGCCTATTTGCCTGGCAAATCCCCCATTTGGAAACACCCTACCTCTGAGCTATAAAAGCCCTATCTTTCTGGGTGGTGGTGGCACATGCCTTTAATTCCAGTACTAGGGAGGCAGTGGCAGGCAAATCTCTGTGAGTTCGAGACCAGCCTGGTCTACAAGAGCTAGTTCTGGGACAGGCTCCAAAGCTACACAGACAAACCCTGTATCAAAAGAAAGAAACAAACAAACAAAAACCCTATCTTCCCCATGTCCAAGGCTGACATCTTGGACCCTCTTGAACAGGGAGAGGCAGCCTGTATACTGTGCACAGGAATAAAATAAAAAAAAAACTTGCTTTAATTGCTTGATTTAATTAATTTGGCCATAATGATGTGGGCCAGTGTTCTTTCTCCTCACATCTGTGGGATTAACGGTTCCAACACAAGTGCTGGTTGAATCTGTGTGTGTTGTGTTCTTCTCTCTTCCTGACAGGACTTTAGCATCCACACATGATGGCAAAGGAGACAAGAGCAGCTCCCTTCAACTCTGTTTAGCTGTTTATTTTTGTTGTTTAACACAGTGACTCATGTAGCCCAGGCTGTCCAGAAACTCCTTATGTAGCTTAGCATAACCTCAAACTTTTACTCCTCCAGCTCCTAACTCCTCAGTGCTGGGATGACAGGTGTGTGCCACCAAGCCTGGTTTGTGCAGTACTGAGAATCAAACCCAGAGCCTCACACATGCTAGGCAAGCACTCTACCAGTGAGCTACATCCCCAGCCCCTCTTTTCATTAGGGTGCTAACACCACTCATAAAGATGGAGCCCTCATGGCAACCATTCCCTGGAGACCCACCTCCTCAAGCTTCATAAATTCCACTATATGAATCTGAGGGACACCAACATAAATGATAATATTAGTTGGGAGCTGTCTGCTGTCTAAGTTTCAACTGTTTGGATGAAAGAGACACAAGTACTGTTCCTATGGCACTTTGAGTTGAGTGAGGACGAGGTATCTCTATAATGAGTCTTGGGGCTCTTTCTGGTTTACCTCAGGGTCTCCTACCCTCCCTTCATAGATCTGGCCCTATATTCAGTGATTAAGAACCCACAACTGGGCTTAGATTCTGAAGATCTAGTCGATTAGGTAAAGGGTGTGCAGGAGGCTTCATCCACCTTCTTTTCCCCTTCTCCAAGCCAGTTATTTCCTCAGTAAATTTGGGGGAAGACCCCCCCCCCAGTAGTTATACCCATTATATCAAGTTCAGGCTCTCTGAACATTCATTCTTCAGGATGGGAGGGGAGGAATCGGGTGGCTGTTGGGAGTGTGCTAGGCTGGGTCTCTGGGGTTCCTAAGAAGTCAGTCTGCAGGAGTGAGCAGAAGTCATGAGGGGGCTGTAAGTGCACACATGGAATCTAAAGCAGCAAAGCCTGGGACCCAGGAATAGGTAGGTATGCATGGCTAGGCGGAGAGGGGGGGAAGCAGCGTGCTGGGTCTATTAGGAGAGGACAGCAGGAACTTCAGCTTGGCACACTGCAAACCCTGGAACTTCCCTACCCCTCCACCTATATAGCACTCCCCAGGATCATTCTAGAAATAAGCATCCCAAGTTTTTTCTGAACTACCACATAAAAGAATCTCTTGGAGGTGGGGAATTAATAAGTGCACAAGTCTTAAAGACCTGACCCTTACCTGCAGTGATATGCAAATGGTACCCGAACACCCACAGTGCAGTATTCAGAGGCTGGGAGCAAATAGATGCAAATGTATGCAACAATTATGCAAACAAGGGCAGCCCCAGATTAATGGCCCCCATCCTTCAACCAGGCAGCAGCTGTCTCTTTAGGGATAAGCACGGCTGACAGGGCTGAATGGGCTCCTGTTAGAAGCATCCTGAGGAAGGGTCAGCTTTCAGGTCAAGAGGGAAGATTGTTTAGACACCTGGCTTGCTGATCCTCTGCTCTGAAAAGTCTGGGTGTGTCTATCATCCTGGCAGGATGTTTTCTGATGGGTCCTGGTCTGAGTCTCAGTTTAAATGCTAGACACTGTTGTATGGCACTATTCCTAGAGAGACATGAACAAACCTACTCACCCAAGGTAGGGAACTGATGACCGAAAAAGTCAATTGGTGTTCCTAGGGAGACAGGAGCAAATGTCTGCTCACCCAGATAGGGAACTAATGATAGACTTAAGTAAGGATACCACTAAAGTTCATTTGGTGGACCAATGAGTTTATTGGGGGTTGCTTACAGAAATATGGATGAGGGGTTATTTACAGGAGCAGAAATGACTCCAAGAAAGCTGCATCATCAAAGTCTACCCCAGCATGAGTAAAGAACTTAGGAAAACTGGAAACAATTTGCAGGTAGCTCAACTGACTGGAGAGTGTTTCCTCCAGGTAGATTAAGTTGGTCTGAGCCTCTTCGAAGAAGCCCAGTGGTCTTTGCCTCTTCAGGCAGCCTGGCTTATTGGGGAGTGTCTTTCAGCAGTCTTTACTGTTTCTATAAACTTGGGGAGGAGAGGAGGGATCTAGTACTTCTGATCAGTTTCAGGGACTTCCTGAAGCTTCTGAGTTGTTTACTTCAAGCCTGCTGAATAGAAGATTTCATGGGCATCATTATAATGAACTTCTCTCCAAGAAATTGTTTATTTGTTTGTTTTGTTTTGTTTTGTTTTGTTTTTGAGTTTTTTGAGACAGGGTTTCTCTGTGTAGCTTTGGAGCCTATCCTGGCACTCGCTCTGGAGACCAGGTTGGCCTCGAACTCACAGAGATCCACCTGCCTCTGCCTCCTGAGCACTGGGATTAAAAGCGTGCGCCACCAACACCCGGCTTGAAAGAATGTTTTATCTGGGAGGAAACAGACACTGAACTTTGGAGGAATGGTGGTGATGAAAGGGATGGTGAAGGCGATGGAGGTAATGAACAGACAGTGGTGGAAATAACAGTTGGAGATACAGATGGTTTTTGACCATAATCATGCCGTTTTGTAAAACTCTTCCATTTTGGTTAAACAATGACAGTTCCTAAAACCAAAATAATTTGGTTCCTAGAACTAAAAAAAAAAATACATATATATTTTTAAAGGACATTCAGTGAGCATGCTCCTCCCTCCCCAGTGGACTCCACTCATTCCTTCCCACTCTCACCCTGGGGCACCTCCACTAACTACAGCATTCCAGCCCTGGCCTCGGGGTGGCCAGATGGAAGCCGCCTGAAGTGCTTTCCTGTGACTCCTATAGAAGCCACTATCATGGGAACCTGGAGTGGATATAAAACTTCCCCAAGGACATCACAAAGGACAGAGGGTGGTCTGGGAAGGTTAGCTCATGTCCTATAGCCAAGCCTGGATCTGGTGCAGACTCTTACCAGCATCTCTATCCTTGACTTTAAGTAGCAGCAATCCCAGTCCACAGTGCCTCCTTGGGGTGACTGAGCTCCTAGCGTGGTCCACAACAGGCTTGCCTTTTCTTATCCCTGCCCCAATTTTTTTTTCAATTAAAAGTAGAGGTAGTTCCTGGGATGATAAAACTCTACCTAGGATGGTAGTATTTTGACTTAATGAAGCAGTAAAGTAAAAGTCTTGAGGAATTAAAAAAAATAAAATAATCGATGAAGCTGAATAAATTAAAGTTATGGGTCATCCACAAAGACCTCTCCCTTCCAGCCTATCTTTGGTATTTGACCAGCAGTACTTCTGTTTGTCACTTCTCTCCCCTCACGACAGGCGGCCAGGGTCTTCCTAAAAAGGCCCCAGCTACTCTTAATGGGATGCTCAGTCAGAACAGCTTGACACGACGCTCTAGACTGTAGACTCTGATCTGCGCTGTGGTGTGTCCAGCTCTGGCAGATAGTCTTGACAGGGAAGGAATCTTATAGGACGGGAGAGCCCTGGGCTCCAACCTGGGAGTGTAGGAGACAAGTTTAAGGCACAGAAGGCCTGTGTGTTTCTAAAATAAAATTGTTATTCTAGATTCTTTCTGTATCCATCCTTGTGACCACCACCACCCACCCACTAACAGCCAGCCACAAAAGATGTTTACTGATTATCTGACAGTAATGATTCTTTTTTTGAGACAGGGTTTTTCTGTGACTTTGGTGGCTGTCCTGGAACTAGTTCTTGTAGACCAGGCTGGTCTCAAACTCACAGAGATCTACCTGCCTCTGCCTCCCGTGTGCTGGGACTAAAGGCATACGCCACCACCACCCGGCCTTTCTTTTTTTTTAAAATCCCACATTCTTTAACCCACCTTATTTCCCTAGGTAGTCCTTGTTGTTTTTTCACTCTTGTTCTGTTTTCAAATCACTAAAGATTGAACATAGGGCTTCATTCATGCTAGGCAAGTACTTTATCACTAAGTTAGGTGTTCAGATTCCTTTTTTTTTTTTTTTTTTTTTTTTGAGTCAGAGTCTAGCTAAGTCACCCAGGATATCTTTGAACTTAAAATCTTCTTGCCCCTGCTGCCCAAGTGGTGAGATTACAGGCCTTCACCAACAGACTGTCGGAATTTTACATTTTTGTTTCTGCTCAGGCTAACCACAGGCAGCACCATATCCTCTTCCACTGTGCCCCTAAACTGTGATGGTCCGTATGTTAAATGTAGATTCATTTTTACCTTAGGCTGTTTTCTGTTTGTAATGCTTGTCCAGGCATGGTCCCATCCTTAGCTGAAGAGTGTGTCGCTGAGAAGACGGTAAGGGTGGAGGTGACAGTGAAGTTTCTGGTGATGGTAGTGATTGAGCAACAGCAATGATGGTGACAACAGGGGTGGGAGTGGGTTTGGGGATGGTAACTGGTACAAGAACAGTGGCAGTACTGGTGCTATTAATGGCAACAGGATGGCAGGTGGAGGAAAAGATGTAGTGGATGAATGTGTCAGGGCCAGACCATGGAGATGTTCCTCCATCTTGTATTCTTGGTTTTACTTGAATTTGTTCTATGGAATATTATTCAACTCTATTCTAGGAACCCGAGGTCAAGATGTTCCAGCTAACTTAGCTTCTGTTAAACTGCTTGCTTGCACAAATCCTCCCCCTGCAGCTGCTGAACCAGGATACCAGGATGTGTTTTTTTGTCTTTAAAATCCCCTTACCCTAAACACTTGGCGCTAGACTTGGGTCCCAAATACCTGAGTGTAGTCCCAGCCGACTGGAACAAAGACTTTCAATTGGCTGTAAATTGTGTCTGAGTGGTAATCTCTGGGCTCCCTGAAACACAAGAAGAGATGACAGGGGTCATGTTACTTGCTATCATCATGGAAAGGATGCCAATGAAGATATAAGTGTGGTGAAAGTCATTGTGAAGAATAATGTCAGGGGTCTCAAGAGAAGTAGAACTAATAGGGAGACTTCCTTCTACAGTGTGGCAGCTGAGAAGTCTCATGATGGGGCCATCTGCAGGCTAAAGACCCTAGGGTGCTGACAGTGTGATTTAGTCCAAGTTCAAAGGCCTGAACAATGGAAACCAATGGTGTAATTTATTCTGAGACTCTAACCCTGACAGCCAGAGATAATGGTGTAAGTCCTAGAGTCAGACGCGCAGGAAGCCTGCAGTTCTGATGTCCAGGCAGCAGGAAGAGTCTAGTTCCAGTGGTCTAGTTACTACCTAAATCTAGTCATCATAGCCAGATGACACTGCAGGGGTCCTGGAGAACCTCTCCAGGACTGATAGCTTCCCATGGTAAGGAGGTACTTACTGCCTCTCAATGAGCCCACCTCCTTTCTGAGGAACCTGCATTTCCACGTGACATCCTGCAAAGGATGCTTCTCCTCCTCCAGAAGCACTAGACTACACCAGAAAAGAGGGCCTGTCTCCTGACAGCCCCTGCCAGGAGTATCTGAGAGTCACTAGGTCACCCTTGCACTCTACCCAGCCTAGAAGAGGAGAAGGGGAGAAACCTGATTAAAGCTGAGCGCAATGTGGAGCCAGATCTAGATTGATAACAGGTAGTTTATTAAGAAATAGTACTCATGCAAGTCTGCTTAGCCAGGCAGGAGAGAGAGAGAGAGAGAGAGAGAGAGAGAGAGAGAGAGAGAGAGAAGGAGGGAGGGAGGGAGGCCTGGGTGCACATCCCTAACTACTTAAACCTTTTCCACTCTGATCACGCCCAAGGGTCAGCGACACCTGTGTCCAGCCCCAAGCAGGCGTTGTCAGCATTACCTCTAAACAGGGTTCCCCTACAGCTAATTGCCTGGTTGAGAGCTGCATTGGGGGGGGGAGACAACGATGAAGGAATTTATTGGTCTCTGGCTCTCAGGGATATTAAACCTACTTTGGCTGCAGATTTGCTGGGAAAAACTCTTAGGGCAAGTGTAGTATCGAGGATCCCATGAGCAGGTATGGTGAGGACCACGTCTGCTCCCATGCCTTCTTTATGACAGGAGTCCCTCCCCTAGTACTCTCCCATCTTCTCTCTCCTTTCTCTACTGTGACTCACTGTGACTGTAATCTTAATGGCCCAGATGGTGGCCCATTTTACTGGGGGTGGTTTGAAGAGAGCAAGATCCTAGGAAAGTGCTGTTCTCCGAGGAAAGTGAACCACTGCCAACAGTCTTGTCCTTGACCACAGGGGCAGCTACAAAGAGATGCTAGTCACTGACTACAGTCAGGGATCAGTGTGGATCTGGAGATGAATCCAACACATAACCTGTTTCCCACTATGAGAAACCATCCAAAGGACTCTCTAATGTCTTTCAAATCTAAGGCCAGCAATGTCCCACAGAAACAAATATGAATACATGTATTTATAAATATTTTAGTTGCCATATTTAAAAAGCAAAAAGAGCCAGGCGTCGTGGAGCAAGTCTATAATCTAAGCTCTTGGAGGACTGAGGCAGACAGAATAGGCCAGCCTGGATCACACTGAAAGACCCTGTCAAAACAAAAAGTAAAAAGAAACAAATGGACAATTTTATTTACTCCAGCATATACATATTATTTCAACAGGTGATCAATATGAAATCACCCATGAAATATTGTGTCTTCACAGCCCACACCTGCCATCTTCTGTTTGCTGGTGCTCACTCTGGTGATACTGCCTGCCCTATAGGCTGGGCTCTCCCAGGAATCCCATAGCAGTTGTGGCCAAAGGGTCTGAGGAGCTTGAGGTTTGTGACTTGAGAATTTAGCCCTTAGTTCGTTCAGTAAGGTTGTTCTAGGAACTCCTGAGGAACCAACGTGCTGGCTCTAGGTCCCTAGCTCACAGTGGGATACAGTCCTACAGAGGCTTCATCTTACTCTCTGTTTAGGCACAGTCCTAAATGCCATCTAAGATGCTCCTTGCCATGGACCATACCCCTCCTGCTTGGCAGGGAAGGTCCCAGGCCTTATAAGAAGCTAAAAAGGGAAGTTAGGTGGTAGCAAGAGGGGGGTAAGAAAGCTCTGAGAGCGGTACCATATGGCAAATGTATAGATATGGGATGCGGGGGACAGGAAATGACAGAGTGCCAGAGGGGAGTCTGGGGGAAGGAAAGAGGGAATTGTTAGCTGTGCAAGCACACACACACACACACACACACACACACACACACACACACACATTGAGGAGAGAGTAGAGAGAAAGAGGTGAGGTATGTTTTTCTGAGCACATACAGACAGGACAGGGACAGACAAGGGAGAGCTAGAGATAACATGAGCTAGGAAGGGCCTACTCTGGGTGGCTAGAGATGTGGGCAGCAACCTTCTGGAGTTGGCCTGAGGGAGCTCAGTCTAAGGTGAGGCCTCTGTGCCATGGGTCTATGAAGAGAAGGGAGCCAAGGACTTTGAGTTGGAGCCATAGAACTCCCTGTGTGTGCCTCAGGGAGGACCCAGGCAGCTTCTCTGGAAGGGTTTGCTCAGTCAATGTCTTCTGGATGGAAATGAGTTAGATGTGAACCTGCCTGTGGTGCCCACACACTCTGTGCTTGGCATGCTGGGGTCTGAGGGCTGAGTTGAAGCCAGCTTAAAATTCATAGTCCCTGAGAACCAATACAAAGCTCATGTAAGAACAAGGCTGCCTCGCTCTGGGCACATGCAGCCCTTAACAGACAGTGCCCTTGTGCCAAGCAAAAAGCAGCCAGTGTGGGCTAGATGTCAATCCTCACTTGCTCTCAGCGGCAGCCGAGCACACAAGCACCGTCCTTCATTCAGTTTCCCAGGATTGAGGGAGTCTGTACACTGGATACAAGTCAAACTCAAAAGCCACAAGCCATCAGCTTTGCTCTGTTTCTCCCTCTTCTCCTGGACTAGCGGCCCTGAGCTGTGGAGCTCAACGAGATGAGGCACAGGTGGGACAGCACACATGCTGGGCCAAGGGGTTCAGAGCATTAAGGGTCCAGATCCAGTTGTTCAGAGTATTAAGGGTCCAGACCCAGTTACAGATCTGCCATCACTATTAGCTTTTTACGTGGGTGGTGGGGGTCTGAACCCAGGTCCTCACGCACGCACAGCAACATTTCCCCAGTGCTTGTCTTTGCCCTTTCCAGCTTCTAGATGCAAGCAGCTGTCTGTGGCCCGGAGCCATTTTCTTCTATCACCCCAACCTCTTACTGCCATCCTCAAGCTGCCTCCTTCCTCCCTCCACCTTCTTGCCACTTCTTGTTTGAGAATTCTTGTGATTACACTCAGGGCTCACTCAAATTACCCAAGACAACCCACCACCCCAGTCTAAGATCCTTAACAATTGCACCTGAGAAGTCTTTTTTTGCCACATAAGAGACCAAGTTCTGGAGATAAGGACAGAGTTGGCCTCCTGCTATGGCCTTTCTCGTCTCCTGCCCACCATCCTGTTAATACTGCCCCCCCCAGGTGATCTCATTCTATCAAAGGACAGATGGAGGGGTTTGGTCATGAAGGCCTGCCTTTGCACCCGATAACCCCTTTGTTCTGAAGGTGGTGGCACCCCGCTACGAGGAAGGCTTAAGCAGCATGTCTCTTTTTTTTTTTTTTCTACACCTGCAAATAAAGTGGCTTTTCAAGACCTTGCTGCTCCATGAAGCCTTCCCCAGCACAGCCAGAACAGCTGTCTCCCCTCAGGGATTGCTCACTGGTACCTCTGCTGGGCACACCCCACAGCCTGCTGCATTCACATACCTATCAGCCTTTGCAAGGCACCATCTCCTCTCTACCTAGCTAGGTCTTTCTCATCCCCCATTCTCCCCACCTCTGCAGCTGTGATTCCTAGCACAGGGTCTGCTCCCCTGGAGAGCAGGGGCCTTGTCTGTGTCCAATCAATCAAATAAATGTTTACAGAACTGGGTCATGCTGAGCCATTCCAGGATTCCCAAGGAAAGGGACAAAAGTGCAAGGTGGCAGCTGAATGATCTGGTAGCTCTGTCTGAATCAGTGTAGCTGGGTACTCTGAGACCCACAAAGCCATGCTGGCAGCAGGTGGAGTGGCACGAAACTGCTCCTGCAGGGCCACCAAGCGGCTTGTTCCCCCTGGTTCAGGCCAACGGCATGCCTAGCTCCTCTCTCCCAGATCATCTTTTCCAATATCGGGCTGAGATGTTTTCCCGTTCTCTGCTGTCTTCAGAATGGCAGTGTCTGTGTGGCCTCCCCTCGTATTCTCTCTGTATCACTTTGCTTTTTGCTTTTGTCCCTTTCCTCCGCTCCAGAACCACCTAACAACAACCCCATGCTGCTCGTTCCTGCCTGGCCCCCTTGCCCTCCATCCTCTCAGGTCTCTCTTTATGAGGGCATCCTGTGGTCTTGGCCTGAATCTGACCCACATGTTTCACTGTTTTCCAAGTGTCACTGGAAAGCCAGGGGGAGATCAACACCCTGGACCGGAGCGATAGGGTCTGGTGGATAAATACCCCGAGCTGCTCATCCCTGTGAGAGATAGTACTGGAGCCTGTTCTGCAGTTAGAAACCCATTGGGACCGATTCCCAGCTGTCCTCAGTGGTAGCCTGCTCATTAACACACTCTCACCCACCACCCTTCCCCCGTCTCACTTCCTTGGTCCCTCATGATTCCTGGGACCATCTCCCAAGCCTATCTGGTCACCCAAATCCTCTGAGTTCTGGGATTGCAGGCATGAGCTATGATACCCATCTCCTTCCAGAAGCCAAGCTAGGAAAAGAGCATGTGGATTTATGGGTCCTGCTTGGTAGTTCTGCCTCTGACTTCAGCAAATGCTTGAGGATGGGGTTCTGTAATTCAGACCCTTCCCCATTGTGTACGGTGTGTGGGCACCAGTTTGTCCTGGTTGAAAAAAAGCAAATGTGCCCA